ATGGTGAATATGTCTAAAGTTACTGAGGTTGAATAATAATTAAGCATAATGTAGAGCAGGGGTTCTCAAATCTGGCCATCAAGAGCCACTTTCCTGCAGAGTTCAGCTCCAAACATAATCAAAAACACCTGATTAATTAATCAAATAATGCTTATTTGTGCATGATATAAACCATTGAGAGACCACAGATAGTTGTCATTACCTGTACTGAATTAATAGAAAGTCAGTTAATATAAAGAGTTTTTATATATATATATAAAGTATTATTCAAATTATAATTTGACCATGGGGTGGAAAGATTTATGATGGTTCCATGTGCACTCACCATTTTTAATTTTACATCTCTCACAGCAAAATTTGGTTTTACTAATGTTAACAGAAACTTCAGTCTACCTGCTCCTACCTCAATAAAATTCACCTACCAGTAACTTTCTAGTTATCCTGAAGACCCTTATTAGCTTGTTTGATCAGGGTTGGAGTTAAACTCTGCAGGAAAGCCAGAGTTGAGAACCCTGCTATGGAGACTGAAGTTTCTGTTAACACTGGTAAAACCAATTTGGACCTCAAGGGGTAGAGTGGAGAACCCCTGCTCTAGAGCAAATTTAAAAGTATATGTTTGAGAGAGTTTGAATCTCAGTCCTAAATTTTCTTTAGGTTGCACTTAAGTATAGTGCACATGCAACATTTCAGGTTTGAAACTTCTTTTAATTAATTTTTCAGTGGTGATGAAGTGCATGGTAAATTTATGATGATATAAGCATAATAGTCTATGCTTGTCAAACACCAGTTTTGAAGCAGGGGGCTGGGGACCACTAGGAGCCTTGGCAAACTTTAAATGGGGACCTATTAAGACTTAAAATTATTTATTACATAGAGGTAACTTATGAATGCAGACAAGAGCTGGAGGAATGGTCACAGAGACAGAACAACAGGTATAGACGAAGAAAGGGAGAAAGAGGCCACATGAATGAATGAATGATCAAGCAACCAACTTTAACGCCAGTTTGGACCAATTGAGATGGACTGATTCCAACATGTGACATGGCATCATTCTGGAAAATAATAAACAACAGGTAGAAAATAAACATACATACAATCTAAACTACATTAAATTTAGTTTTGCTCACAAATAAGCATAGTTTGTGCCAGCAACAATTATTGGCACAAAAACAAACATTTAGAAACCAAATTGTTTATGGTAGTGTTTAGACTTGTTTGGTTGCACTTGATGTCCTATATAAAATCTACATCTTTAAGCGAAAAACCCTGTGGTCATCCATTATTATAGGAGACATGAAAAATGTGTAATGTATTATTTGACCTATGCATATTTGAGTTACAATGTATTATTTGAGTTGTCATGGTGGTAGCATTAACTAATGTCAGGAAAATGTTGTTTTTCTCATTAAGGTGCTCAAATACCAAAATACCAAGCTTGATCTTGTTTTTATATTTAAAAAGATTACTTAAAAAGGCACTTATTTTGATCTTAAAGGC